CTTGCAACTTTGAGCTGCTTTTTTCAGTGGTAGTGAGCATAGTTTAGATAAATAACATATAAAAATTTCGCTAAGATTCATTCACTAACAAAAAAGTTATAGCTTTTTTACATGTCGGATATGAACGCTACAATGGCAGCGCAAATCGCTCATATACCATCTTACAAGATCATATGAATTCATAATAATAATAAGCACCATTAAGACCGAAATAAATCGTTTTTGATAAATCTTCAATTAATTTTAAGACATATACATTTAATCCTTGTAAAACATCGTCACCATCAACAAATGTAAATTCATTTAAACAATATTTCATTCCATATTCATTCCAAATACGTTTTCGAATTAATTCATAAATAATTTCATCTTTTTCCATGTTAATATTGCTCCATTCCCACTTTCTGTTGGCATAAATACTGATATATTTTCAATTGATAGGTTTTTATTGTCAAATTCTTTTACTATAATTTTTTTACTGCCGTATCTTTATCATATTGTTGACAATCTTTGATAAAGTGATATTCATCGGTATTTTCATCATATTCTTCATAGGAAGAATCTTTCACCGCAATTTTCTCGAAATAATAATCACATGTAGCAAATAGATCATCATAAAATCCCATCTAAACAAGAAATAAAATTTTCTTATCATCGATGTATAAATATTTTAGGGTAGCGCTACTGCCACCTCAAGAGGTGTCACCAAGGAGCTATTGCCACCTTCGGAAGGTGTCATTGACAGCTATTGCCACCTCCATCAATCTGGAAATGAGCATACAACTCACTTGACCACAAAAAAGCACTTGAACGCATTTCCCAGCTCTAAATGATGTTCTAATCAAGAGTTATGAGAGTTTTACCGGATGCCCTAAAACTCGCATCCACCATATCTCGAAAGCGATTTTCATCCAAACACACCATTTCGTAGCTTCCACATTGCTCGGTAACAAAACATCGTAGAGAGCTCGGGAAGGTTTTAAATTGAAGCTAACGCACGTGGCTAGAGGCTGACAGAGCCGGATGTTTTATATTCAATTGAGATTTGTTATTAGAAAAACATCTTTGCCAAAGCTAATAAGACTTTTTCGAATTTGGACTTTTGACGCTGAGCATTTGAAAAGAAAAATATTAAAAATCCGGCTGTATCCGCCTATAGCCACATGTATTTTTGGTCAATTTAAGATCAGCCTGAGCTTTTCACAATGTTTCGTTACTGAAAAATCCAGGAGCTACGAACAGCCCCATTTTTGTCACTATTGTGGCGACGTAGCACAAACCATGCTTGATGGAGCCAAACAAAAAATTTCGTCACCATACTTTCACAAGATCAGCATTTGTTAAAAGTTTGGTCAAGATTGGACTTATAGTTTCGGAGATAGGCCTCTAACGGAGGAGGGAGGGGGCTTAAGATATTTTTCATAAACACTCAGAAAAAAATAGTTAGTTTTTTGAAAATTCGATTAACAACAGATTATGGTGGTGGGTTTCGTCAGGATAATTATGATTTTAATAATGATGAAGATTATTATAGTTTACACAAATAAAACAACATGCTGAAGTGACATTGAAACTTTAAAGCAGCTTTCTGTATCTTTATTAACATCTATACTCTGTTTTAAAATAGACAGAAGACGACAAGAATGACGATATGGCTAGTCCGAGAAATAGAATTTCAGTACGTTTTTCGTCTCAGTTTATCATATCTTTTTTCATATTTAGACATTACCCGTCAAAATACAGTTACAATAGCCTCAAATCATTCATTATCGACACAAGCAGCTGATATTTTACTTGATAGTCGTATACAAGTATGTTTAAAGTTTGAACGAAAGAAGGTTTTCGCACTTTTGAATTTAATCTTAGATGACTGATAGAATAAATGAAGCATCAACTGAATCATGATTATCTCAACATACACAACGTGTAGGTATTCACTTTGCACGAAGTAGCTTCAGTTATATAAATTTAAAAACTGGTTCAGCTGATGAATAACACATACCTTCAGTTCAGACTGTAAATATGATCAAACATGATGTGAAATAACGACTCAGATAAGTGTTGTATATACGAAGAAAAAAATTCATCGAACTTTTCTTTGTTCAGATATCGCTAAAGAAGACAATAGAATAGAAGTATACTCCTTTCAAAGAGAATTTCCCTTTTTCTTTTAAAGGGATTAATTATGACGCTATCTTTTCGTTAATTTACACTTCTCTCAAGATAATGCTTCTCAAACTTTCATTTCGTTAGTTCTATCTTTTGCTGTTTTCAGAATCAAATAAGTCTGACCGATCCTACCAGTATGTACACCATATCGCAACAACGCCATCATTAACAATATTTTAACTATGCAAACATGTTATGTCAAAAAATACGAATAATAAATTTGGATATTATCTTATTTTATTGTGTTTAATCAATTTTATCACCTGCATTATCCCGAAAATCGTATTTGTTTTCTTTATAACATACTTCAACAATATTCGTAGTTTCTTTGTGACAATACTATGTATATAAAATTTTAGTTTATGGTTCAGTAGTTTCATCCCTGTTAAGCAATACAACGCATGAAATCTTAGATAAGTTATATCATAACTGTATTCGGTGTGTATAACAGGGTCTGCATATATTTTATTGTGATTGATGACATATCTAGTTTCTCTTCAAGTATATTAATATTAATATCCTTTCTTCCTTTCTCTTGCACTAAACACTACGTATGAAGAGTATAGCTCTATATGATAAAAGTAGAAATTTTTATTTATGGTTGAAGTTGGAAAGAAAAAAACTAGATACAATACTTGTTCCTGCTCGTTATTTTTATGCCTAAATTGTGTCAGAGTATTACTAAACATTTATAATTTACACGTGAATAAGAAAAAAAGCCATTTTCGATTTGTGCATCATCAAAAAAACGCATGAATATATCGCTATTAGAAGGTTGTGAAAATTTGACGTGTTATAATGGTGGCCAATGCTTTAACAACGGCACCAATGAATCCCAATGTATATGCCCTAAATGCTATACAGGTCAATTTTGTGAGAAAAACAATGATTGGGTATTCATGCCACCATTTCAAGCGTTATCATCGCATACATCTAATGGAACATATGTTTATGTTTGTCTTTTTCAATTCTTCATGTTTCTCACCATCATTAATAATATTCTAACTATGCAAACATGTTTATGTCGGAAAATACGAATAACAAATTTGGGTATTTATCTTATTTTATTGTGTTCAATCAATTTTATTACCTGTATTATCCAGGAAATCTTATTTGTTTTCGTTGTAACATACTTTAACAATATTGGTAGTCTCTACGGTGTAGCCGTACTAATGAATATAATATTGGATTTTGGTTTATGGTTAAGTAGTTTTCTCGCTGTTGAGCGAGTATTAATTCAATGTTTTAACGTTAACTTATATGCAACAAGAAAACGATCAATAACTATTTCTGCTGTACTACTGTTCTTTCTTCTATTGAGACAAATTCCTTTTGTTTTACTCTATACACTTCCTAAAAAATCAGTTTCAAATGCATTGATTAAGACGAATTTGATATTTCAGCCTATGTTTATCATGATTCCTTGTTGCTTGCATTTCATTTCGAGTCTACTCGTTTTAATCCACTTGGCAAAACGTCTGATTTACCTAACGAATAGAAACGATCACTGTTCAGTATGGTATCAACAGCTCTCAAAACACCGAGATTTTTTTATACCACCACTGGTATATTTGATATCCGCCTTACCGGTTGAAGTATACACGGACTTCATATACGATTGTAGCAGACATGATCCATTAACGTCATTAGATATTAGCCTGGTACTCACATTTCTGAATATGCTACCTTACACATTTACGTTTTTTATATATATTTACCCATCGAACGTCTATTTGTCAGAATTTAAAAATTCATCAGTAATTGGACAGTGTTGTTGTACCGCTATCAACGTAAAGATAACAGAGAAGAGCAAACAAAAAGTAGAAACACAGATGTAGCCACTTTTTATCTAATGATTTCTCTTTTTTGAATTTAAGTAACAAAAACGAAGGTATGCACAGTAAAAAATATTGTGTCGCAGCTCCTGTGAGAAAACTGTGTAACATCGGTAATACCTTCTTAACTCATGTAATAGTCTTGCCGATTAAATATGGATGGTATTCAGTTGCTTTTGTCTCCTTCTTTCTAGTAATAAACAGATTAAACCAATTCGAAAATCGAAAATTTTAACAAAAAAGAAAGCGGCCGGTATCTGTAAATAAATTCAGTTTTCAATTTTAAGCATAGTTAATGGATGGTGAGAAAACTTTATTCTACTGGTATATTAGCTCGAATCAATGAGTCTCTATGGTGAAAATTATGCCACTATCAGATGATTAATCCTTTATATTTTGACGCCTATAACTATGACTGGTGTAATAACAGCGACAGGTTTTCATATTTTTACTGAGAAACCTTGCAGTTACAAATAGCTCCGTTTTGGCACTGTAGTGGCGACATCTTGTAAATCAAGCTAGATGAAGTCAAACAAAAAAATTTGTCACCATCCTTTCACAAAATCAATATCTCCTAAAAGTTTGTTCAAAATCGGGCTTATACTTTCAGAGCTAGATTTCTGACGGAGGGGGGGGAGCTTAAAATATTGATATTTCGAAAGTAGGCAAACATGAGTGAAATTTTCAGAAATCAATTGATTTTTCACCTTTATCGTTCTTATAACATTCCAAAACCATTTTTGTATGATTCTCCATAAAAAACTGAATATAAAAGTGGATAAATCTTAGTTTCTGTCATGGTTTTCTAAAGCTCCTCTGAAGATACAACACTGCGTATACCGAAATCTGCGTGGAATTTACCCAGTTGTTTGAGTTTCTATGGAATCGTTATGCTTCTATTGAGGAGTGGATATTTGAAGAGGAGAATGACTGAGATAAAATACTTAGCCTTTTAACTAAAAGAGTTACATAGGTTTCAAGATGGATAGTACCGATTCCAGCGGTTCTGCTCGTGTTCCGAAAATGTTTTTGCCATTTTAAGTTGAAAATTCGGGCAACTTTGATTTTTTACCTTCAGTTTTTCATGGAGAATCAAACAAAAATGGTTTTGAAATTTTATATATGTATAAGAACGATAAAGCTGAAAAATCAATTTATTTCTGAAAAATGTCATTAACGTTTGCCTACTTTCGAAAGATCAGTGTTTTAAAATATTTTTCAGCGAAAAGTAGTTTTCTAAAGAATAAAACTGACATTTTCCTAAGTAACTCAACCTGTTCTATCTAACCATAATAGAAAAAATGCAAAACAAAACTTTTCGAATTTTGAATTGCCAACACCTTATTGTAGAATCATAACTGAAGTTTTCTTTTAAAAAGTTAAGGCTGTCACCTTACGAAATATCAAAAATTGTCATATTTATTGTAATATTAAAATGCTTAGTTATTTATAAGTCACCTAACCGCATTACTGAATTATTCTTATTTCTAAACAAAATAATGGTATACTCAACATTACGTTCACTTAGAAACGACAATTTACACATTTGTCTAATAATACTTTTACACTGTTAGGAGAAATTTATTTCTAATTTAGACAAAATCAGTTATAAAACTATAAAGCCTTTTCTAGTTTAGATAAATTCGTTAACCGTTTTTCAGTTGTAAAAAATCCAGATTTTGTAATTTATAGAAAATACACGTGATTTTCTTTAATATCGATTTTATAGAAAGTTGAAAGTGCTTAAAACTTTCTAGAATTAGAGAAATCGTTCTATTATTTTTAGAAATTATTGATTGACTTCTTGAATAATGGATTAATTTCCCAGATATTCAACGTTTTTCTAAAGAATGGATTTCGATTTTCTATGATTTCAAAATGGCTGGTCGTTGCACTGTTGACCAGTAGAGGAATCAAGACACACCTGGAGCGTGGAGATCGAGTAATGGCTTAAAATACACAGAATAATTTTCATCTGCGATTCGCTGAGTTTTTTTACTACATCTCTCTATGACATCTAACCGCAATACAATGCTCACGTTTCCCTTTGGTCAGAGGCTGCAGCTGATGAGCTGAAGAATGTTACTGATTTCTCTAATTTGGTGTAAAAACTTTTAACTCTACTATAAACCGAAAGTCTTTCTCGAAACCGTCTAAAGATGTGACACGTTGCATGACGTTTTACACGAACAATACAGTGGACCTCAATTGATTTGCACCCCTAGCCATTTTTGACATTACTCTACTATAGTTTGATTCCTATGAGAGAGCGATATTCAGAAAGAAAGAGCAGCCTCGACCGCATCGAATGGTATATAACACATATATCCGATCAACATTCGACGCTGGACAGAGCATGGAGAAGACAGATGATTTTTTTTTCACTACATTCGATAATTCATCCGAGTTATATTGAAAGAAATGACTTGTTTATTCATTAGGTTGGTCGTAGAAAACGTCAGCTCCATATGAGATGGCACACTTTCGATAAGCGCCTCTGATTTCCGTGCGTGACAATGAAAAGAAAGTTTTTGAAATTAGCTTCGGAAGGTTACTCGCAGTGATCGGATAAAGGCCGCGAAGAGTTTCTTTGAGAGAATGCCATATTGGATTATCCAATGGAGGTATGTACTTTGCTGATGCAGTTGGCATATAATGAATCCCAATCACTGATGGACAATTAGCGTCTTTAAAAGCCTGCATTATATCTAGTTTGTTATGAGTCCGACTCTTATCGCATATTAGATACACATCGTCAATAGCCAGTCGATTGATTGCCGGTGCTAATTTTTTCAAAATCCATTCGTTCACAAAAATGTTTTCGGACGCCTTTGATATCTTTTTCCTTTCGATCATCTGGTGTTAGAACCATGCAAGCAATTGGTTGTGACCCATTGATCGCACCAGTCAGGTCATAACGTGAAGCGTAAGCCGATGGTTTGTCAACGATAATCAAAGCATGTTGTCCCGGGGCGACAAGGGTTCGACGGAGGTACATAGTACAATAAACAGCTGTTTGGTTGAAGAATATCAACTAACATTTTCAATGCGCTGTAAGAACCTTCGAAAATTCGCGATTTCCATCCAATATCCAGGATCAACTACGAAAAGAAAATATGGCTGTGTCACATTTCAAACTTCGAGTCGCAAGAATGAGATACTCTTACTAGGAGGATACTTACGATCTCTCGGGGTCAACTCATTAGTTTG